TCGAACCGCTCTGATTATAATTAGAATGATTTGGATTGAATTGTCAAATTTATTATTTAAAACTAGAAATTGAAAATAAAAAACTTAAAGTTAAACAAGGTCAGGGGTTCGAATCTTGCCTTGTGTATGCAGCCGCGTTAAATCTTGGGACAAGCTATCCCACCCTTTGAGGTGCCTCCAACGTAGCGAGGAGATTAGTCACTGCTGTCGGCGGTGGATACTCCAGGAACAAATTCAAAAAAAAAAAGTTAAAGCTATATTCATTTCAATATTATAACATGTATACACTTAAATTTTTAGTCATAAATTGAGAAAGTAAAAGTATAGAATTATAGAAATGTGTGTAGACTATGAATTATAGATTGAAGTGTTATAATATTATGAATGAGTAAAAAATTTGTCTGATAAATTTTAAATCTTTATAAAATATATAAAAAAAAGTTTAATATGTAGTAATTGATTTAATTGAATTAGATTTTTAATATCAAATTCGTTATTCATAATTCAACATAAATTTACTAGACTTACATTTTTAAATCCAATATGAACTAGTGATTTGAACTAATCTAAAATTTTTTACTTGGATTCATTAATTTTTCGGATTGATTCGAATCTCTGATCACTTTTATTCCACCTCTAGTTAGAGAATTTTTTTGATACATTATTAGTGGATAATTCTACCTTACAATAGTAGAAATTTTTCAATCTACACTCCAACCTCGACCACTAAACTAATAAATCTTAATGATTTTACAAATACTATAATAGGTTTTCAACCCGAAAAATAATTTCATAATAATTTTATATTTATTTTATTTGTAAGATGGTCGTAAAATATTTTATGTTATGGAGGTACAACTTTAATTATAGGAAGTGATAAAAATAAGTCAGATCATTTGATAAGTGTTTATAGTTTAGTGGCTCAAATTAAACAAGACTTTTATAGAATATAGGTCAAACTGAAACTTTTATTAAAGTGTATTTAATTAAAAAAAAATTGGGCCTTAAGTTATTTAAAACATAATGTAAAAAAAAACTATTTGAAACATCTATTAAGCTTTACAAACTAGCTTGTCTAAATAAAGATAAATAAATAATTACAATTAACATATCAAATTTGTTATAATGCATTTGTTTTGATATGTTGGACTGCCTCTAGAAAATTCGAATTGTTATCTCAACCTAGAACATTTATTAAATATAACCTAACTTTCAAGCTAAGGAGTCTCTTATTACATGTCAAGTTCATGTTTGGGATCATATCAAGTTTGACTAACTCTTAGGTACTGCGCCTTCAAACCATACGTCATAGAGTGTCTCCCAAATCCCAAAACATAGCCTTGGATTAGCAGTATGATGACTCGGATGGTACAATATTAAAATCATATTTATTTATCCTTTAAAATATTAAGTATGTAGATTTATATAAAAAGTGAAATGTAGAAGTTTATTAAAAATAAATTTATATACTATTTAATGATCTTATTACCAACTTTTTTAAAATAAGTTATTATCATGAATGTCATGTTATATCTTAAAAATATGTTTATGTGGTATAAACTAGTTTGATTTAATTTTTATAAAATTTAACATAATTCTTTTTATTTTTATAATAATGTTAAATTTTTACAAAGTAAGATCTTAAACAAGTTTATAGATCAAACTCAAGCTTTTAAAAAAGACATGAAAAATAAATAGATCAAACTCAAGTTGTGTATTTTTAACTAAGGTTAGGCTCAAACTTGGAAAGCCTAGCACTTCCACCCTTAACATATCATGTCCCACTAGTCGGACTCAATGATAATTGAATGAATTCTCATTTTAAACTTAAACTTAGGGTGTTATGTTGCTCTAGTGTCCATATTTTTGGGATTCTTTTATCTTCCAATCAATATAAATAACTATCTTTGTAACATTGTAAGTTGTAGAGTGTTATAATTATTTTAGTCATTTTATGTTGTTAAGTTAAACCATTTTTAGTGTTTAGAGACTCTGAAGTCTGAGAATCCCTTAGGAGTTTCAATAGTGTTGGGGTTTTTTGAGTAGAGATACACTTTGATCTTGAGAGGAAGAGTATATAAGGTTTCTATTTAGAATAGAACCTCATAAACTCAAATTCTCAAACTTTTAGAAAGATAAAATTCTAGAGAGATAGACTATGATCTGTGGACTTCTTTTCTCATGAATCTACTCTTCTTGTAGATTTATTTTCTTCCCTAACTAAATTTAAGTTGTTTTTTGTGATTCAGGTTGTGGAAATCCTGAATCCAATCTGTGAAGTGTGTAGAGTCTCATTTTCTCCTTGTTTACCCCAATTCTGTCCTACGCCGAGGTAAGAGAAGCTAGATTATTGCTCTTGATGGAGTTTTTAAATGGTTGATAAAATGTATGAGTTGTATGTTGTAGGAATCCTTCTTAAGTTCGAGGTTGTGTGGATAAAATTGGAGTGGGTTGTTATGAGAGTTGGGGTTTTAGGTTCATGATGAAGAATATGATGATTTGCTATCAATTGGTGTTGCATGTTGGTTTTTGAGTTTCTTGTGTTGAGTATGATCATTATTTTGTGTTGCATGTATGATTGTGGTTGAGTTTCAAGTGGATTTAGCAAAATTCATGATCTGCATAAGTGCAGATTGCTCATCGCACCGGGTGCACTTTTGTGGCATCGAACGTCATTCCAACATGAGTCTTTCTATCTCAATCACATCAAGTGTAGGATTAGTGACGCTAGATGTGAGGAGAGAGGCTCATCTTGGGTTGGGATGGTGGTGAGTGTGGTTTGAATGGTGTCAAGTGTGAGAGCACTAAGAGGCCTTTGACTTGGTAACATCGAGCCCAAGGTTGAGTGGTGCCTAGTGTGGTCAAGTCAAGATTCTCTACCTGAGATGAGGTTGGGTGTGGGATTTTTCCACACTAGGCGTGAGGTCTCAAGGCCTCTACCTTATCCATATTAGGTGTGGGTTGTGTAGCAAGCATCAGGTGTGGTCAATTGAAAGAGTTCCTTGCCTGGATGGTGTTTAGCGTTGATTACTTAAGGAAGACATTTCATTTGATTTGATGAATTGTTGAATACTTGTTGATTGAGTTGTTAGATGACTAAATGATGATGAATAAGTTGTAGTGGTGATGTTGTATGTGATGATTGTGTTGGGAGTTGTTAGTTGAAAGTTAAGATGAGTTGTAGGTCATGTGGTTTTATATTTGTGTTAAAATTGTTATATGCATGATGTTATTATGTTGTTGAGATGATGAATGTTGAGAATATTTTAAGCATTTAGGCATGGTGTTTGTTAAATCAAAAATCTTGTGTTAAGACAACGAACAATCCCTTAAGTTTTAACGATGATAAACAAAAGATTTTCTTTAAGCAAAGTCAACATTCTTCAAAAATATATCATATTAGATGAAATATGGAAAATACAATGTCATCTATAAGATAAAGGAAATCAGACGAAGCATACATTCTATCTTAGGACATTAAATCAAATACTTCCAAAATGAGTCTAACATTAAATTTCATTTAATGTGTTATTTCTTAACATATCGAACAAGAAAGAAGCTTTCAAACTCTCGGAGTTTATTAAAGAAGGAAAAGTCAAAATTTTTGAAAAAAGAAAAAGAAAAAATCCTAAATATCATGGAAAAGACTCTGCAAAAGATTGCTCTACTCTAACCTTAACTGCTCTACGCAGAGATTGCTTTTGCCATGCTCATTTTAGAAGGAAATGATAATAAACAGTCTACAATATCATATAAGAGATACATGCCTTACTAAAAGGCATTTAATGTTTGCATTAAATACATTAACGATAATCTCTAAGATCAACAAAGAAAGATAGACAAAGCAACTCAAGAAGAAAATTGAAAAGTTCAACTCAAAGTTGCTATAACGGTCATCTTCTCTGAAGCTACTATAAAAGGATTAAGCCTTCAAATGAAAAAGATCATTATATGAGATAGAGAAAGAAGTGATATAAATAAAAAAGAAAAGCATTCATTGAGAAGTGCATATTGAGAAACATACTGAGTCACAAAAAGCTTAAATACTACGAAAAAGCTCTTCATTGTAAATTTTATACATAGTTCTTTGTATACTAGTTGTGCATAAGTTTCATAGCATCATGTCTAGAAGAAACGAAGCTATCTTTGTAACTCTTTTCAAATTCATTTGCATGGGTTGAGCTTAGAGAGGCTTGGTTGAAAAGAATACTTGGTGATTTAGCCTAGAGAGGCTTGTTGAAAGAATACTTGGATAGTTATTTGTAGAGGTAAGTCAAAGACTACTTAAATTGACACTACAACATTTTTGGATTACCGTTCGCACAAGTAGAATGGGTGGAGTGTTACATGCAATAGAACATCTATAGATTTCTCAAATAGTAGCACTCTTCCATCATTCAATTGAATGCGAACACAAACAAAAACAGCCAAGGAAACAAGCAAATTTATTAAAAAAATTGTTAGACATCCGAATAAGGAAGACGTGGAAAGTGATCATTAGAAGGAATAAAACCAATGAGGACAGTTAAGGCAGTTAGATGCTCAAAAAGTAGGCCTTTCATTAGTTAATTGGGGGGTTAAATAGGAGAGGTCAATTGCAAAGTAGGTAGGCAAACAATATTGAGAGAGAACATCCTAGAACTCAATTGCAAACGGGAAACTCTCTTAAAGGAGAATTCAAGTTCTCCTTGTTTATTCATTGTTCTTATAATAGAACTCATTTTTTCTTCTCTAAACCACCCATTCTTTTCTATTCTTGCACCTATTGCGATTCTTGGATAAACTCGACCAATCTTCAAGTACAAATATAAATAAAATGTAAATTACCTCATTTAATAGCTTTTTCTTTCCGTTTGACTTCGTGCATT